GACCTGGAAGAACTGGCCCTACAGACCCCATAGCTTCCCAGTGTCAATCCATCATACAATGCCTCCTTTCTAACAACCTCATGACGCTTACCCACTCTCCCTGCAACGCTCCCATCTTACCAGTTAAAAACCAAATGGTACTTATCGCTTGGTCCAGGACCTGTGCCTCATTAACGAAGCTGTTATCCCCATACACCCAGTAGCTCCCAACCCCTATACTCTCTTGTCCCACACTTTCCCTTCCACTATACCCTTTTCACCATCCCCCTTAACCCAGCTTGTCAACATTCCTTTGCCTTTACCTGCAGCCCCTCCTAAAACAGATCTAAAGCAGATACAGCCCAGTTCTGTTAACTTCTCTCTCCCTACAAGACACACTTATCTCTTCCACTGCTATCTGTTCAAGCCTGTGCCCCACCCCCACCATTCAGAGTTTAACTCTAAGTCAAAGCTGCCTTTAACAAACTCTGACAAGCCCTCCTTCACCCCCACCCCTGCATCTACCAAACCTGCCAAACCTTTTTCACTCTACACAGGCAAAAAACAAGGTATAGCAGTCCGAGTCCTGGCTCAGCTCCTGGGGCCCGCTCTATCCCCTCTAGCTTGTCTGTCTAAGCATCTAGATATGACAGTCAGAGGTTGGCAACCCTGCCTCCAGGCCCTGGTGCAGCCACCGCCCTCACCGAAAGAGCCCTAAAGTTCACCCAGGGAAAGCCTATCCCCACAGGCTGCAGGACCTCCTCTCACACCGAGTCCTGTGTTTGCTGTCTCCAAGCCGCTTGCAGAAAATCTATCGCATGTTTATCGAAAACCCTAACATAACTCTGCACCAGGCTCCCTCTTTAAACCCAGCAAGCCTCTTGCCTCAGCTCCTAGGCTCGCTGGAACTTAGTGGTCACTCCTGCCCCCAGACAGTTGAGGAACTAACACTGCCCCGACCCAGACTCTCTGATCAACCATTTCTTAACCCAGATCTACCTTTGTTTGTTGATGGCAGTTCTGTCCTAAATGCCCAGGGGCAATGGAAGGCTGCGTATGCTGTCCTCTTACTTGACCAAGTCTAGAAAGCTGCATGCCTCCCAGTAAAAACTGCTTCTCAAAAAGTGAAACTTGTTGCTCTCACTTGAGCTCTCCATGTAGCTAAAGAAAAAGATGGCTAATATATATTCTGATTCTAATTATGCGTTCCTTATAGCTCACTGTCATGGCACTATCTGGAAGGAGTGGGGATTTTCTGACTACCAGCGGGTCCCCCATAGTAAACGGTAAATTAATAGTTAATCTCTGACAGGCTCTTCAACTGCCAGCAAAAGTAGCCATCATCCATTGCAAAAAACATCAAACTGATAACTGTCTTGTCTCCCTCCCTCCAAAGGCAGTTAACATCCTTAACATGAGTCACCCTACAAAATCGCCAAGCTCTTGACTTACTAACAGCAGATAAAAGGAGAACATGCATGTTCTTCTAAATAAAGACTGTTGTTATTATATTAATGAATTGGGCATAGTTAAACAAAATGTTAAGGCACTCCGCACCATGGCCAATAAAATCAGGAAATGTCAGTGGAACACCACCAGCTTCTCATGGCCTGGATTATGCCCGTCACTGGGTCTCTGATAATAATCTGTGTGCTTTTGCTTTTAGGTCTTTGTGTGTTTAGATTCTTGCAGGAATGGATGAAAGATATCGCCAACCTGACCTTCAATCAGCTTCTTCACCCTTACAGTCCACTGCCTACCGCCCGGCCCCCAAACTTTCCAACTCTCAATCCCCCACTTCTTCGCCCTATCCCAGCAGGAAGTAGTTGAGACAGAAAACATCGCCCCATTACCAATATTAAGAAGTTTGGATGTTTGGGTCGGGTCTGAACTAGGCAGCCCCCTGTTTGGACTAAGCTGAAGCAGGTCTGGGCCCTGCACATGTCAAAGGTCAGCAGCGGGAGCCAGAGAAGATAACCGCCAGAGAAGATAACTAGTGAAACCAGATGCTCAGGTTCAAAGAAAGCCTCAAGGAGTCCACAAGCAATTCTCCGAGTTTCCAGACTCCATATGCTAATTAGCATACATTCCCCACCACCCCTTAAAAAACCCTTGCCCCAAGCTGCTGAGCACGACTTCCCTGACCTGTTGGCCTAGGTCACGGAACCTCGTCCGGGAGCTCCCCCATCCCCTAATAAAGCTATTTCTGTCTCTGCTCTCTCTTGTCCTGTCAGTTATGTCCGTCTTCCTCCCTGTTCCTCATTCCACTTCATGTATTTTAATCCTTAAAATAGTGCCTATCGAACCCACAGAAGGCCAAGATCCTTCACTTCCTTGCTTTATGGTCAGTGCAAAACAAAGGTAGACAAAGCTCAGAGGCCCAAATGTACATGATCAACCCTAGTGTCTTCCTTCTGCAGCGCGATGGGAGACGGGCTCCTGCCTGTAGTTAGCCTAGGCTGGGAAGCAAAGTTCACAGGTGTGTGGATGACGGGAGCAGGAGAGACTACATCTTTACAAGAGCCACACAGCTTAGTCTTGCTTCCACGGAAGTGCTGGCGAGTTTAAATCGTCTAACCTTGCAGCCTCCTGCTTAATGTGCAGTACCAGCTGAGCTTGTTTTCTGCATAACTGGCACTCTGAGTGATGGCAGTTTTTATTACTGCTTGTTGCCCTGTTACTTTCTGGGATCACCACAGCTCCAAAGACGCATCAGGACAGACAGCATTAACGCTGGCACCTCAGGAAGGTCAGCGGCAGTCTTATCCATTGGGGGCAGAAGTTTGCCGTGGTTGTAACCATGACCAAGTTCGCTTGGTAGATCCTTCACCTTCACCGATGGCTTTTGCTATTTTGGGGGTGGGGGTGGAGGTGGGGTCCCTTTAAGTGCTTGCTTTAAGACATTATAAACTCTCTCTCTGAAAAGAGAGAAGCAAATGGACGTCTTTAAACGTTCATCAGGATCTACTGGTTCTGTGGACGCCCCCAAAGCACCACCGTGGCCATGCTCAACACCCCCATGTGACCATGAGCGGGCCAGTACACACACCGGCAGGCGCACCGCAGGCTCCTGCACCTCTTACCTTGGAGAGGCGACTCACTCTTTCCTCCTTGTCTTCCAGGGCGCGCAGACTTGGAGGGACATACCAGAAGCAGACGTTGGTGTGCTGAGGCTGCAGGGAGGAAAGTCAGATTCACAGCCCGCCCCAACCCGCCACGGCGCCCATTCCAGCATCTCCTTTTATATCCCTGATGTCTAGGGAGTCGGGACGACACTGGGTGTTTATTCTAGCCCAACACCTAGAGTTTCCCCCCTCCATCACAGCCTCGCTTGCCTGGAACTTATTTACATTCAAACAAACAAATAAACAGTGATAAACCTGGGAAGGGACTGAACTCTTGGGGATGGTGGACATCGGAATACGTACCTTTCCATCAAACACCATTTCGTATCCTTCTCGGTTTTTTATGATATTGTATAAGTACTCTGCCAGCTCTAAGCACTTGTCAATCTGTGCTTCAAACCCAGTAGTCCCCTGAACGAGAGAACAAAGTCCGTCAGATGAGGCGCAGGATGAAGTGGTTCCTCTGGGCAGTCAGGGTCTCGCCTCCGTTCTCATCTACCCTCGCTCCTGGCCCTTTCTTCACACCAGCCTGTGCTTCTAGAAGCTTTTCGGTCGTTATTTTTTCCCTTTCACGCTCCCTGCACCACACAGGTGCTTTGGTTCTGTTTGATTTTGTGACTGCTCTCCTCCCACTGTTTCCCCCTGAGCCTCCCTTCCCTAAGCCATCATTTTGATTAGTCCAGGGGAAAGTCTGCCCCTGCATTCAGTTGCTAACAACAGGGGGCCCAGCCAGCCTCCTCCTGCAGAGATGCAGCAGCCGCTGCAGGGACTATTCCCAGGACGCCCCCATTCAGCCAGAGTCCATCTCGGAATCGTCCATCTCCAGCCCTCTGTGGTCACCAAAGCATCTCCCTTAGAACAAAGCAAGTATGTGCCGATGATTATTTGTGGAACAAAGGAATGAATGGATCTTAGGGAGCACACAGATGTTTTCTGTAGGTTAGCTGGTCACTCTGCAGGGCTCATTAGATGTCTCCCTTGGGGAGAAATGCCTTCCATGTCCGGATTGGTGAACATGGTCGCAGAGACCTTTTCGTGTCCAGCTCTGGGAGCCTGGATCCAGACACAGAAAAACAGAACAGCCTCACGGAGGACTTGTTTAAGAGAACTGAATGCACACCAGGGAATGACTTTGCAAAGTGGTTTCCTTCTGTCCCCCAGCGTTTATGGAGTGCTAATAGAAAGCTCAGAAACAGCTTGTGTGCATCCTCAGGGCCCTTAGGACTGGACTACCAGTGACTGATCCCACATTGAAACAAGAGGGAGCAATTGTTATGCAGATAAAGCGGGCCTCTTTCCTGTTTATACAGTCTCAGGAAAAAGGGAGACAAACAGAAGGCTTTGAAGTTGAACAGGCTACTTTTAAAAAAGATCTAATGGGATCAGAAATTAATTTCATCTGAGATTGCTCCTTAGTTCAAAGAAGGCCACAGGTGCTGGATGACTCCAAGGTTGGATGTGGGCTGATTTCTGAATGCCCAGTCGACACCTGCACCACATGCCCCATGAGTATGTATGTATCAAGGACATTAGTATTGGTTTGGACTGACACAAAAGGAATCGAGGAGCAGAGGTGTTCAATGAGTTTCCCATATGGTTGCCAATAGAGTGAGTTTTGTTGTTGAAGGGTGGGAAACAGGCATGTGTCCCTATCCGACTAGCAGCTTTCAAAAGATGACATCAACATCTTGCCCAGCTCAATGGACCAGAGTCTATCACACCACCCATCCTAGGCAGCACAGTGTAGCCTCATTTAACATTCAAGGAGACTTTAGGTGTGTAAGTCTCATGGGAGATTGCCTGAAGGATATGTAGACCAACCTCCCCTGGAAACCATCGAAGACAGTGGTTCTCAACCTGTGGGTCGTGACCCCTTTGGGGGGTCGAACGACCCTTTCACAGGGGTCGCCCAATTTATCACATTAGCAAAGTGACAGTTATGAAGTAGCAACAAAAATAATTTTTTGGGGGGGTGGGAGTCACCACAACATGAGGAACTGTATTAAAGGGCTGCGGCATTAGGAATGTTGAGAACCACTGATCTAAGAGATATGTCTGCATTAAGCGAGACCATCTTTTAATTTAAACCTTCTCTTCCTTCCATAAAATGGTTATGAATCGCATTGCTTCACCCCTAAATCCCCACTTTTCTTGCTAGCCACTCGCTCCCTGCTCTGAATGGCTTTGGCAATTCAGTTTACAGTGAACAATGTTCTAACCAGCAACATAAAGAACCCATCACTAGGGTTCAGACTGCCTTGCGCAGGTCTGAAAACTAACCAGTGCCCAGATCTGAGTCGTGGTGTGTCTCACTCCAGATGCTCCAGTTGTGAGCTTGCTCCCGAGGGACTGAGCCTGTCGCCTCATTGCCTTCGCTGTTCAGAATGCTTAGCTCTTCTAACCGTGTGGCTCTTCTACTCACGAGCCCTTGGAGCATGTCAGCTTCCCTTCAGTGTCTCCCTTTCTCCTTACTCTCTGTCAGGTGCCCCTCACACACTTACTTCACATGTGGCTTTGATACTATGCACAGTTGCCCCTGGTGACTGCCTCCTTTGGGAGAGAAATGAAATCAAATGGCCAGTTACCGACTTGTCCCACTGAAGTTAAGGATCTTCTCAAAAGTATTTTTTCATACCTTTCCAGCCTGTGTACAATAAAAGTACGATTTATATTCTTGGAAGGCAACAAGGAGTCCCAACCAGTCCAGGACTGTACACTAGTAGTTGCAAAGTTTACCTGCTCAGGAGACTTGTGACGACGTCTCGTTACATGCAGGGCATGAACAAGAGAGACAGTGCACAAGGGAGAACTAGATATTGCTGGGGGGTTTAAAACAATTCTAACTAGAGGCCATCTCGTAAGATGTCAAAAACAAGCTCTTATGATCTCACCCATTGCCACTGAGCCAATTCTGACTCACAGGACTGTCTGGGACAGAGGAGAGCCGCCCCTGTGGGTTTTGGAGCCAGTAACTCTACGGCAGTAGAAAGACCCATCTTGCTCCCACAGAGGCAGGTTGTTTCAAACTGCTAGCCTTCTGGTTAACAGCCCCAGCGGGTCACCCACTATGCCACAGTGCTTACTCTGTCCTTTTTGGTTCTCCAGATCTTGACAAATGTGCATTAACCTACCCAAATGTCCAACCATTTGGGAAAAGCCACGACTTGGTGACAGAAGAGGAAACACGTTGGAAGGCTGAAGGTGCTCTGCCCTCTGAAGCAGGGCGCCTTGGTTTTCTAGCGGCATGAGCAGCCGGGAGAGAAAACAGCGAACACCCACCGTGAGCTGCTGTGTCCCCACTCACGGAGCCTCTGCAGCTATTTCGATAGAGAACGAAAGAAACCTGATGTGGGGTAAGCAGTTTTCCACGAGGGAATCACTTTTGGACATGCGATCCTAGGTGACCTGAGACTCGGCCACTATTTACCGCTGACACTCGGGCGTCTGCACTTGCTTACCTTTGCCCTCCACATTAGCCACAGCTTAAAAACGTCCACATGGCGCCCGCACTGCAAGGCCTTGTCTCCGGTGTCATAGGACAGGTCATAGTGCTTGTCTTGCTGGAAGAGGTAGGAGGCGTGCATCTGGTTGCAGCTCTGCATCAGTCCCTAAAGGAGAAAAGAGTGATCTTAGGGACCTCTACTGAGCTTATCAAGTTATTTCATTTGATTCACAAAACTATCAAGAAAAGAGAGAAATTGAACATCCTGGAAGAGAGAGAGAGAGAATCACCCTCACAGAAGGGTCACAAGGAAGGGATGAGACAGCCAGGGTGGCATATAGCACCGATGAAACTCATAACATTCCTCTAGTTCTTTAATGTCCCCACCCCCATCATGAGTTCTCCTTTACAAATCCGGTTTGACCAGAGCATGCACACTGGTACAGATAAGAGCTCTCGACACACGGAATCCAGGACAGACAAAGCCATCCGGGTCAATAATGAGAGTAGGTGGAAGATGGGAGGAGAAAGGGGGAACCAATCGCAATGATTGATGAACAACCTGCGGCCCCCACCTCTGGGGAGGGGGCAGGGTACAAACAACAGAAACGTGGGTGAAGGGAGATAGTGGATGGGGTAAAATGTGAAAATAAAAATAATTTATAAATTATCAAGGGTTCATGAAGGCGGGAGGGGAGGGAAGGGAGGGAAAAGAGCTGATACCGAGGGCTTAAGTAGAAAGAAAATGTTTTGGAAGAGATAATGGCAGCATGTGTACAAATGTGCTTGATACAATTGATGTATGGACTGTTATAAGAGCTGTTTAAGAGCTCCCAATGCAGGGCTTTATTAAAATATATACCTTGATGGAATAGGCTGCTTTGGTTGGTTGGCTCTGTGGGATAAAGTATTCCCAGTCATGTCACTAAAAGTGAACAACGTACTCTTACTTTCACTTAGCTTTGTAAGAGCAGGCATTTCTTTGAAAGTGGGAGAGACCCATGGAAGTGTACACCCTTTCTTTGGGTGCTCCCGTTTTATTGTGATGAAAATACTTTGGCCACTCTTGGGCTTTGTAAAAGATGAGGAGTGCGATTCTTCTAATGTTTGATCCATGTTTGATGCAGGCCTGTATCCTTTACGGTTGCTTGTGTTTGGTCCCTTTTTGGAAACCAGAGGAGTGCGTGGCTATCCCATCTATCCACATATTGCAGTGAAAAGATGTGAAGGCACTGCTTTAAACACTCTATTTTCAGAGTATTTAAGTATCTCCTCTTTCATGTTCATCTAAGCCTCAGTACTGCGTTTTCATTTTGAATGGCTTCAGGTGGTTACAGTGGAAAATTCTGCTGATCTGCAGTGTAACAAGGACTATTGATTTGTCCTAGCACCATACAGCTACTTTGGGAAATTGGGGTGGCAAAGTGACCGACCTATTCCAAAGAAGAGGCAATGAATCACGCTTTTGGGGCTGGAACAGTACTGCCAATCTCCTTACTAGAAACCCCACACGTTTCAATTTGTCACGAACCATGGGATGCCTTTAACTCTTCCTTTATCGACAGTGTACTTGTGATTCTGCAAAAGCGTCAGCATCGTTTCTCTTCTGACTCATGCCCAGAGAAGAAAAGGCTAACATGTGATCATTGGGTTGAAGTTAGAAGTGAAAGCCCTTTAAAAAAGGTATCTGTCGTATGCAGACAGACCTGCAGAGACAACAACATGCACAAAAACAAGACAGAGCAAAACCAAGCAACAATGTACAACAAAACAGCAACAACATCAAGCCACTGACAA